GAGAATGTACACATGCCAAATCTCCATGTTATTCATTACAAGCGTTAACACAGCATAAAGTAGATAGTGTTTAGTATGATGAAGAGACAGGAATTAGGTAAAATAGGGAATGACAGATAAATATATGTGAGTACACACATGGCCCATAAGCGAAGAAGTCCAAGATCATGAAAATAAGACATATATGTGAGCTAAAACCCACGTTATCCTACGGAAGCAATAGTTATCATTAAAATGAATACAACCCAGTGCAACATGCTGTGTGAGTTATTAAGGTCTGTACAATGGCTAGAATGAATCCTGTAGTTGAGTATTGGTAATGGACATTATGAGACTATAAAGTTGTTCAGCAAGAAAGACACATCTAGCTACTCAGACTCAGTCAAATAATTACCTACAGACATTGTAGAATAATAGTCTGGTTTGGTATTAGTACCATTCTAATAATAGACCTAATCATAAAATTGTAGATTTGTCACGATGCAATTGCCTAATCTATGAGATCTTACGTGGACATCTCATCATTTCCTACATTAACTCGTCATATCGTTAGAATCAGTGATATAACGTCTAGCACTTTTGAAGGACACATTTGGGCTCAAGATAGAATAGTATATTTAATGTGGTGAAAGATAAGTTATACAGAATGACTGAGGCTGAGCCATGCCACCCGATCGAATGAATGTTCCCGCATCCACCATTGTTTAATTTCCTTCTGTGTTACGTTTTGGATATAAATGGTATGCTCGGCTTCAGAGATCGTGTGGTTAGGAACCAATGCCACTACGACATCCGCCCTGATGAACGATGAGTCGTAGGAATTCTATTCTGTGAATTCAATCCATCTGCATTTACAAATTTGCAGAGTCTAGTGGAAAGTTCTAAGGAAATTGTCAGGCTTATCCTGCCTATCCTGCCTATCCTATTCTCTACTAGTGTTCAGTTGTCGAGGGTAAACCACATGTTTTCAGTAGAAAAATTTCGTAGTCACATCCACACATGATGTGTATAACATGTAGAAAGCTTCCGATCACAGATTAATTAATGCAAACCGTCTGACTGTCTGGAACAACTGGAGACTATCAAGGGATCATGACTATCAGATTCATGTATATCTCTTACGTTTCTTAAGGAATTCTGTAGGTTTTTTTATTGAATTTTCTCAGGGTAATGTTAGTGAGCTAAACATTATCAGGTACGGGACTGCTGTAAGGAAATAAGACAAGTTACCAGAGCTCACGTTGGGCTCACCAGATTTGTGGTGGGTCCCGGTAAAAGAGCTCATTAAAGATAAAACAATACGCAAGGTTACCAATTATATACCAAAAGGAATTAACTTTACAAACGTAGGTTTGAGAGACTAAAGGGTTTCCTGCAATTTATAGAGGATTTACAATATCAGGACTATCTATCTCTCGTGGTCTAGAGACATATTCAAGGAGTCAGCATCAGTGTCAAAAACTGACAGAAATATTTACTCTGAGGATTTATTCGCCGCTACAAAAGGGATCTTCGATGAACAATGGGTTAAAACTTAACCTGTCAAATTTTCATCTCATGGATATTCTGCTCCGTTTGACACAATCAACTTACACTCCTTATGAAGATCTGTAGAATTATGGTCTGCTATGATATTAGTACTGCTCTAATAATAGACCTAATCCTAAAATTATAGACTTGTCATGATATAACTGCCTGATCTATAAGATCTTACGTGGGAGTCACATCATCGTCTACACCAACTCATTGCATCACAACAATTACCAATACATGATGGAAAACAAGCTTAGGCTAGAGATAGGACAATATATTTAATATGGTTAAAAGATATAAGATAACAGGGGCCACGCCTGCATTGCCGAGCCATGCCATTCGATCAACTCCGACTCATTCCATTCCTTATTCGCGCCTTCTCCATCGTTAGGTATTTCTCTGCGTTAAATATTGAATATCTATTTTCCGAGTAATTTCGTATTCAGCTTTGGGGATTGTGTAGTTATGGTCCAATGCCACTACAGATCCACTCTTGGTTGTCTCTTAAGAGCGTAATCTAGGATCACTAATCCCCAAGAGCTTGAGTATCAGCTCAAACGACGTCAAGGATGCATTCAACGCAAATGCAATTCTTCGCTCCGTATCAACAGGCAATCGCCTCTGAATTGTATTTGGCACTGTTTAAAAAGTGATCGTGGCCACAAACCGAAGTCCAAAACGTTTCTGGGCCCCCTGTCTTTAAAAAAGGCATACATCTCAGACCAAGTGTAGAGACGAGTAGCTAAGTAGATGATGTGGTTTAAAAAATATTACGAAGACGGACTTCGGTACGTGAGATTATTCTTGCTGTTCTGTAGAAAAATAAGATGTGGTCCGATGGTGGCACATAGTATACTAAGTTTCCAAGTCATCTCAATACAAACATTCTACCAGAATACTAGCGCTACACTACTCCAGGCAGCCCCCGAAGAAATGCAAATCAAAGTGTCACTATCCTAAAAGCCTCCCACTTCCATCATTACGAGTTGTCTGAACTCCGAATGTTTTCCCAAACAGCCCCCTAGTGGATAGCTTCAAGAAGAGACTTGATAAACACACACTCACTAGGGATTGATATTTTCCGCTTGGAATAGCTATGCTTGATACCTGTTATCGTTATCACATATGGTTAGCTCCCCCACTACCTTGTTTCTTATCATGTCCATTTTCCATTTTAACTTTACATTTTGGTTCAAGCCCATTGTTTACATTACTAATTAATTGACTTGTTTTTTACTCTTCAAATGGCCGTTTTCTCTTAGTTTGCAAATTTTCTCTTCATTATTTCTCACACCCCAACCGATCAACCTTCTCCCTGAAAATATAATAGCTGCTAGTATGTAGAATTCCAACTGTCATGAAAAAACACTCACTCAAATCACAGGATATACAAACTCACAAGTAACTAATGCCAAAATGGCTAAAACCAGTTCGATCAAGAGTTTAAACTATATCCGGTTGGATATTACCGAATACCTGGGACCGTAATGAAATAACAAGACGCTAGAGCATGGAAGTCAGTCTGTTTAAACAATCTCGATACAACTATAATGGACATTATATCTTTCCAAAAGAAGGCAATGCATGTGCCTTAGTTTCGGTGGAAATTAGAGCGCCGTTTCATCGCTCAAACGAGTCTATCGAGGAACTAACTGTTCATAATACGAGTCCAGTAATTTGTGATGTTTGTAGTTTTAAAGTTTGAATGTCTCAATACTCAGGGTCATCAGTGTGCCGCTAAGTGATGCTTGTTCTTTTGTCTTGTTAATGGAGTGTATGCTTTTGCTGTGTCCTGCAGCTAATCAGTCAGATTGTCGGCCTTGTAGCCCACTCTCCAAGGAACACCAGAAAAACTGGAACAAATATATTGACTTATTGCTGTCGAATTGGGAAGACAAGCTTCACCTTCCTACCTATTATCGCGAATTGAAAACACACCCATTTTGTTGTACTCCAGGTCCAGGCTATTCATGTCGTCTAAATCTTATTCACGAACCTCGCAAAGAACCTCGGCAGTTCTATGATCTCACGTAAGTTCGCTAAATGTTGATTATTCCACAGGTGTGCGAAAGATGACTTCTTTACTCCCATTAAGTGTCAGCAAGACAGTGACATTAGATGTTGTTCCGAAAAGCATTGTAATGTTCCTTCTTCGGAGGAACTCATGCTGCTTGTCAAGGACAATCCTTCGAACTTATATCTTGTCGCTATATCTTTATTAACCATACTATGCATCATCCTTTGTATTGTATCAGGGACTTTCTACTTCCTCTTGAGAAGAAAATCAGGTGAGTTACTTTTTCCTAACATAGATATAGTTGATGTTCAGTATCCTAACTTGCATTTCTCATTACTGACATTTTCCCGTTTTATTAAGCTGATTTGGCTTTCTTAAGAGTAATTAATTTGGAAATGTCTATACGGTAATAATATTGATACTGCGTCAATAGTTTTCGTGTTCCCTAAAGGGTTTTAAAAAGTTCACTTGTTATGTATTGTTTACGAAACAAACTGCTGGTACAGTAGCTCGTTATGACAAAAAATTACTACTGATTAGAATTAAAACAAGAAGGTGACCAACAACTGGTCGATACGCCATTTATTCCCTCAGGATACTGGATCCCATGTGCACCATTGGTTTGGAATCAGGGTTTTCCGATTCCCCTATGTGAACTCTCCGTATCCACCAACCCGGTTAAAGCGCCGGACATTCGCTTTTTGTCCTCTCAATTCCGTAAACAACACCGTCGCCACGTGAAGGCAGTGAGTAGGACTTCCCTGGTAGAGGCTATATACGCGTGGCCATGTGAAAGCATTTCGAGAGGAAAAGCGAACTCTCCCCACTCGACGTACCAGGGCATTTGGGAGCAAAGCCTGGAAACACTGGGCGGCCATTTCGTAATATTGTAGGGTTCCTCAGCAGTGCGTATCCACGATCTCGCCTCGCGAGATTCTAACCAAGGACCTATCAGTCTCGCGCGCGAAAGCTTAACCGCTAGACCACTGAGCCGGCCCATTCAAGGTTTAAATTGAATGTATATTGTAGTAGCTACCCGACTTTAATATGAGCAAATAATATCTGACCAAGTAAATTACTCAATTGTCCTAAAATCATCACTAAAATAGAAATTACAAATTATTATCTATAATCGAAAATAAAGTCTCTTTGTAAATTATCTTATTCCAATGTTCACAAAGCGATTCTCACTTTTCTGATGAAAAATTGCCACTTCATAATCAATGCAGTTTGTATTTAATGTAGTTTGCACAATTTTTCTCAGTATTAACTTTCTAGTCGTTTTTTCACTATTTTAAAATATAATTTATCAGCTTCCCATATAAACTGTTTGCTTGCACAAAATTCATAGCGTTAAAGGGTATATTCGCTGGAAACATATTCACGAATCTGCTACACTAAACTTCTTTTTCAGAGGCTGATTCCATTTTTTAGGCGAATGTTTTCTCATATGACATTTATCTTTGTAAATACCTGTTTTTTTCGTGTCAGTAATTATAACCAACTCATCAAAATCGTTGTTCTCTTGTATGATTGTGCAAACTAAGTAGCCCGGCAAAAACAGATCACTTCTCAGAATGGTATTACATCTGATCATCTATGGACATCAGATAATATTGATAACCAATACTTAAAGGGACCTGTGCAAGTACCAGACGCTTTAACTGTAAATAATACTTGTCCTGAAAATGCAAGAGTATTTTCCAATGATCCTTCTGCTGTTTCTGCCGGAATAACTAGTCGTGGCGCTAGTAGTTTGAGCCATTTTGGCAGTAGCGCTTTGGGAGCCACTCCTGGAAATATTAATTCATGTTCGAATTCCCCTACTGGGGCTATGACCATCACTAGTTCGGGATCAAATTCTGCCATGCCTACAACAGGTACTATTCCTGCAGATTTGATGGACCACACCTGCAGTGGATCAGGTTCCGGAAAACCTTTACTGGTTCAGCGAACAGTCGCTAGGCAAGTTCAGTTGGAAGAACGTATCGGTGAAGGTCGTTATGGTGTTGTATGGCGAGGTGTTTGGCAAGGTGATCTAGTAGCAGCTAAAATCTTTTCTAGTCGGGATGAACGCTCCTGGTTCCGGTAAGTTTGTATTTCATTTGATTGCAATATTGATTATATCTATATGACTTCATCATTGACCGACTGCTGGAACTAACGTTCTCGTCGACTGAATTTTCAGGAATTGATCTTCCAGGAGGTCCACCTATCGACTTAGAATACGCAGATAATATACTCCTGTTTAGTGAAAACGCTGATAAAATGCAGAGCCTTTTGGTGGCACTGAGCAACAATGCAAGGATAAATAAATTTGGGAAGAGAAAAAAAGAGACAAGGAGGAATAAGGAGATCAAAATTTGGGAGAACACAAAGAGTGTATGCACCTGCGCCATTGCAAACGATTTTGAGCCATGTCATTCAGGGTCTCTAACCATCGGTCGCTATCATCTTGCGGTCCCCAATCAGGTAGTCTACACCTACCAACATGACTCAGTCCACTTGTCAGTGACTTCATGGACTTGTGCCATGTTTTGGTCTGACCGCCCCTAGCTTTCTTCCAACCTACTCCTATACCACTGAACATAGCACGTCGAGGTAGTCGTTCGTTGGGCATACGTAACACGTGTCCCAGCCATCTCAACTGATGAAGTTTCACCACTTCATCAATCGATTTGCTATCCTTACCTAGTACCCGTTTCCTAACAACTGCGTTACTTACTCGATGGTCCCATGATATACGAGCAATGTTTCGAAGACGCCTATGATCGAATACTAGTAACTTACGGATATCCTTTACTCTTACCGGTCATGTTTCACTGCCATAAAGTAGGACGAGACGAACTGCTGCGCAGTGAACCCGTCCTTTGGTTGGTAGACGGATATCTCGCCTACTCCATAAATGACGCAAGTTGGCAAAAGCTAGTCGAGCCTTCTGTATCCGTGCTGAGATTTCGTCACACACCAGACCACAAGGGCTGATGAGACTTCCAAGATAAGTGAAGCGATCGACACGCTCAACTACTTCACTCCCTATCACTAGTTCGGGTGTCGATGTAACCCAATCCTGAAGCAACATTTTACATTTCGAGGGGGAGAATCGCATCCCGAACATTCTTGCATTGTTGCTTAGAGTGGTCATAAGACTCTGCATTTTGTCAGCCTCTTCACCAAATAAAACTATGTCATCAGCATATTCTAAGTCAACAAGTGAACCTCCCGGTAGAAGTTCAACCCCTGGAAATTTAGATGAGGAAAGTGTTATCTCTAAAAGTACGTCGACGACAAAGTTAAACAAGAATGAGGAGAGTGGACAGCCCTGACGAACACCACTTGAGGTAATCAATTCTGATGACAGTTCGCCATAAGCTCTCACTCTACTAGTTGTGTTCGAGTAGAGGGCCTGTATAAGGTTAATGTACTTCTTTGGTACTCCTTTCAGTGACAAACACTGCCATAGAACCTCACGATCAACAGAGTCGAATGCTGCTTTAAGGTCGAGAAATACTACGATTGTGGGGCGTCTGAACGTGTGTCTGTGTTCTAGAACCTGACGTAGTGTGAATATCTGATCTATACAACCACGTCCAGGTCGAAAACCGGCCTGGTTTTCTCTAATCTGCTCTTCACGAGCTTTAGTTAGGCGTCGAAGTATTATTAAAGCTAATATTTTAGATACTATATTTGTCAAACTGATTCCTCTGTGATTGTCACAAGAGGACTTTTGTCCTTTCTTATAGACTGGCACAATCAGTGACTGAGACCAGTCAGATGGGATTACATCCAGTTCCCAAATTCTACCTAAGACCTCAGTTAATCTCATTGCTAATACTGAACCACCATCCTTAAAGATCTCAGGAGTAAACCTGTCAGGGCCTGCTGCTCTCCCTCGCTTCAGATTTCCTATGGCTTTTTCAACTTCGTAAAGAGACGGAGGACCTATATTAACTTGCCATTCAGATTGACTGGAGATCGTGGAAACCGAAGCGTGGCTGAAGGCCAGTTGAACTGATCCCTAAAGTGTTCTGCCCATCGATCCAATCTCCTGGATTGAGAATGTATAATACGTCCATCTTTCTCTGTGATTGTTTCGCTAACGGTCGGGCTCCTAATTCCGGTTTCCTTAACGAGTCTGAACAATTGTCTGCTATTACGTATTGCCGCTGCCTTTTCCATCTCTCTTGCTTTCGCTACCCACCACTGTTCGCGATCATTGCGTAGACTTCTTGTCAGCTTGCGCTTAAGCTGACTCCGCTCTTCATTATGTTCAGAGCCAGGTGGAATGAGTTTCCAAGCATCTATCAGTGCGATAGATGCTGCTGAGATCCAGTGTTGCTCCCTAACCTTACGGGTTACCGTACTAGCAGATATCAATGCTGTTTTCACAGCTTTTCGGATATCATTCCATGCTGCATCGGGGTGGGCATCACATACATGGCTGCCTAAATATTTTTCTAGTTGTTCCTGAAATATACTCTTAGCTTGACTATCATTAATTAGGGCCCTAAGAGGTTTACTTGCAGCGTCTTTCCTACGTCCAGTAAAACGCAGACAGATACGCGCTCGTACTAGAGCATGATCTGAATCTAAGCATGTGCTCCAGAATGAGCGACAGTCTTCTATCGAGCCCTTCCATCGGTGGCTGAGAGCGATGTGATCTATTTGGGTCCAACGTTGGGACGAATTAAGGGGTCTCCATGTTAAAAGATGTTTTTCGTATGCTTAAAGTTAGTATTTGCAAGGAACAGGCGGTTATCTGAGCATAGCTGCAACAGACGGTCGCCATTATCTGTTCTTTGAGCCACGATACTATAAGATCCACCTAGGTGTCTTTCCCTATCGCTTAGTTTATCTACTTGAGCATTAAAGTCACCGGCCATTATTACTACATCCGAGCGCCTAGCTTTTCGGAGAAGGTCCGAAAGCTTTCTGTAAAACTCATCTTTTACATCATCTGCGCTGCAGTCAGTGAGAATAGGTAGAGACGTCAAGTGTCCCTATCTTTTCAGATCCTTACTGTTCCGTTTAGTCGGACAGCGCCCAAACGACTGTCTACTGGGATCCACTCTAAGAGAGCTAGTTCTGCCCTAGGACTCAATGCTATGCCTACGCCGGCGAGGCCACGGGAAGCAGAATCAGGGCTTCCAGATACACGAAGCGTAAATCGAGTCGGTTCTTTATTTTGGCATGGTGAGGTCAAATGAATGACGCTACTCGGATCCTGTATGCGCGTTTCGGAGACGCAGCACACATCGATGGCGCGAGATTCTAAGGTCGTAGCTAAGGAAGCCTGCTGTCCTATTTGGCACAGTGTTCGGACGTTAAAAGCTCCTACGTGTAGTTTAGAGCGTGGTTTCAGGAGACCAGGAATAGCGTTCCACGTACTCGAATCGTTTGCCCTAGCGGTGCGAGGTGATAAAGAGACGTGAGGAGGGTTAATCATGGAGATAAGAGAGGTATTAGGAGGTGTAGGGAGGATTTGAATGTGACCAACTTGGTCTCGTGTGCTGTTACGGGTATGAGGGCTGATGTCACTTCCCGGCTGCCCACACCGTGGAAGGGTATTTCTTGAGGAACCTGAAAAGGAAATTGGATTAGTGTTGGTCTTAACGACCTGGGAGCGTGACCACAGAGCCCAGGGGACAACTGCTTGAGGCCGGTCGCGCACGGCTTTTTTGTGGGAGGTTTTTGACGTGTTAGCTCCGTTCTTCAAAGGGCCTTACCGCCGGAGACGGAAATCCGCGAGGTAAGGTGAGGTGTGACATTTTTAGGGTCGACCTTTTCTAACCCCTTCCTTCCTTGTGGGAAGGCAGCATCTCTGTAGATGCTGGTTGTCCGAGGAAAGCACCTTACTGCTGTCACACCTCTCTACAGTCAGCAGTACGACTTCGCCCTCAGACCTTGAGTTGCTGCTTTTAGTCTTACTGTTCTCCAATCGACCTGCCTGGCATGGTAGAACCTACAGGAACATATGTTCCAGCCAATATAGCTCGGTTGGGTCATCACGATAGGCAAGCCCGACCACCGCGTCAAGGTAGCAGCCACGGTCGGGAACTATGAGATTAAAATCGCTTCATATCTTTCTTTCTACGAACTAATTCTTTCTTCCCGTACTATGTCCTTATATACAATCTTTCTTTTATATATTACCACCATTGAAGTGACTACTTCTATGAATTTGGTGTTCATCTTGTTGTGCTACTGAGGTATGGCAACTTGGACCGATGCACATATGTGCCTGTTTCTACGTTGTAGCTGACTGACTGATAAAATAACAAGCAATTCTCATACTTTAAAGTTAGACTCCTTTCATTCCGGAGTAATTTTTCGTGAATATGATTATGAAATAATGACGCAATGTCAGCTTTCCGTTGTTACTCTTAAGGTCAACAGTGACTTCAAAACCAGCTTCATCCTTTTATATTATTCTTTATGATGACTTGTCGCTAGTACAGTGGACTAATCCTACTTTTCCAAATACATTCAAGTTTGTATATTAAATCGCCAGTTAGTCAGTGTATATGAGCTAATAAAATTAATTCACCGTTCAGTATATGGAGAATAACTATTTAATATGACGTTTGAAAACACAGTACTTTGACTTGAAATATGAAAACATTTTAACAATTTTTTTCTCTAAAACATAATACAAATAGACAGTTGGCAAATTGCATTGTTTAATTCTTTTAAAGAAGCTGAAGGGTAAAGTTGAGTGTTGTAATGTTGTGATTGATTTCACACTATCACTCACATATCCCACCAACAGCACTTTCTTCCATCTTTAAAACCTCAGTAAACACAAAGGCATTGCCGGAATCTCTGATGACAATAGTGGATTAATCGTCTAGTAATAGTTGTATTTGTTATGGTTTCTTCGAAATTCATACCGCATACATGTTCGACCTTAAGTTTCACGCCGGTACATGTTTTTACATCCAGTTGCTCAGCTGCATAGCTTTGTTTACTCCTTAAGAACTGTGACCCCAGTAGTTAAGACATTCGATTCTCAACTTCTTAGTTGAAGGTTGAAACTCCGCTTCATCCACTTTGGTTTATCCCATGAAGTAATATTACTGGCTACTGAAGCCAAGCACATGGTTGATAGGTTGATAACAATAGTAACGTTTTTTTCTTAAAAATCAAGATAAATCAATTTAAAATTACCTCATCTACGAATACTTAGGATTTTGTTTTAAACTTTACCCTACTATCTGAAACAATGCAAGATTTAAGGTTAAGCGTTCGCGCGCGAGACCGATAGGTCGTGGGTTCGAATCTCATGGGGCGGGGTCGTGGATGAACAGTGCTGAGTCCCACAATAGGACGAAACGGCCGCCCAGTGCTCCCAGGCTTTCAATGGTGGTCTAGCTTCAATTGACTCATGATCTCAATTATTGGAAATAAAAGAAATTTAAATAACTCAAATAGATTCATTTTATTTCGTCAGGTTATCAATAGTTTTTAAAACGTGTAATAATTCGAAATGACAATTGGTGCTTAACATATTTATCGAAAAGAAGTTATTGTGAACACGTATCAACATGATATAGCGAATGACCAAGTAAGGTTAAAAAGGAACTAAATGAAATGTTAAAAATAAACTATATGCAAAAGGATTTTCTGAAACCCAGCCAACATGTAGGCTTAGTCATAACGAGTGATGTAGTTGATTTATCTTGCAAGTTTCACCAACCTTAGTATCTGACGGAGTCTCGGTAGGAAATCCAAAATCCCGCCACCATACGGTCACATCTGTATGGCTTTTTTTGAAAACTTATACAATTTACTCCGTTGCTAATCAAGCTCGTATACATATCTCTTCTAGCCCAGTATCCAATCAGAAGACGTACTCAATTCTGTTATCACTCAAAATCCATGCAATAATATATTTAAGGTGCCTGACCACAGCACACCAAATAAGAAATCACACAATCATACCATAAATGGTAGAAGCCGGAGCAAGCATGTAATGACAAGTTTTTATATTAGATATTCTCAAGTCTTTGTAGTGTTTTCCACCCGACGTTTACAATAAAGCAGGAACCTCGTATACTTAATAAAAAAATCAATCAATACATAGGTCTATGTATAGAAAACCTACGTAGAACAGATAATCGACAAACTTTCACAATTGAGCTTCAGTAACAAAAAAACACAATTTCATTCTTTCTCTATCTCCATATTATCGTAAAACTCATTCATTAAACCACTTAAAAGGTAAATTATTCATTTTATAGCTTTGGGAATTCGCTCATTGTGTATAGGAAATCTTCCATAGAATCATTTGCGTATGTATTATTCAGTGGTTATTTTATTAAATTACCTTCAAATTTTGACTTATTTAATACTTTTCAGAGAGACAGACATTTATCAGACGGTGATGTTACGTCATGCAAATATTCTAGGTTTTATTGCAGCTGATAATAAGGATACAGGACTGTCTACCCAATTATGGCTTATAACTGACTATCATCCATTAGGATCATTATATGAATTTCTACAACAACATTGTCTGACACCGTTTGCTCTTTTACGGGCCGTTGCATCTATTACTAATGGTTTGGCACATTTACACATGGAAATTACTGGGACACAGGTAATGATTTTTTGTTGTATGCACTTGACTCTGTAGTAAAAATGATATTTTTTAAACAGTAACTATACTTTAATACTATTATCTGCCTAAACTCATTAAGTTTGTTTTTGTGTAATAGAGGCATGTTGTTTACGGAGATGTTATTTTACTCAGGTGATGCATTAACCGTGTTTCACTGAATGTGATTACATGGAAACAAAACTAACAGCTACTAGAAGTTTATTCTGTTAGTTTCAATAAAATCCGTCTGGTGTCATGGTGCTGTAGTGATACAGAATTGTTTGTTCTGGACAAAATATCTATAAAATATAACCACCGGTGGGATCAGTTTTTTGCTTTATTGTCTAAATTCTCCAGTCGTTGATTTTATCATACTAAGAAGCCCATAGATTTTAGTTATCATGACTCTTGATATATATATATATTCTTGACTTCAGGCTAAGCTTCTTAGAAATCAGTATCTTCAGCTAATAGCGCTTACCAGGCTGGAAAATTTTCAATTCTGCACAATTATACCATTCCGTTCAGTTTCTTGACAATAGTTCACTTTCAGCTTTTAATTGAAACTACCCATTTGATTTCAGTGCCGTTCACTCAGTACTTGTATCAGGTAGGATTGATATCATGAATGTGCCACAGCCTAGTTCTACTGGTCATGTTTCACCGTCAGTCCCCAAATGCCTGGTACTACCGATGGTGGGGACAGTCAGCTCTCCCTCTCGAAATAGTGCAGATTAATGACCACTAAATATATTCTTTGCACCTTTTTTACTGAAAGTATATTTGGTCTATAGTTTTATAATTTTACATAAATTTTAACAATTTATCATATCAGAAGGGGTTTTGTGTAGATTGTAGTAATTTCAGTAGTTGAGACCATGGGTCAATTGAAACTAGACGACCATGGAAAACCTGGCAGCACTTGGCGACCGTTTCGTCCTATTATTGGACTCCTCATCAGTGCGTATCCACGCCGTTCAGTGCTTCCAGGTTTTCCATGGTGGTTTAGCTTCAATTGACTCATGATCTCAACTATTGAAATTTATCATCTGTTATCTACAAATAACTTCTATTTAATTGTAATATTTTGTAAATTTAGGGTAAACCTGCTATAGCTCATCGTGATCTGAAGTCTAGAAATATCTTAGTTAAAATGGATGGTGAATGTTGTATTGGAGATTTGGGTTTTGCTCTTAAATTGGACTCATCTATGAATACTGCATTAGAAATTAATTCAAACTCAGATCGTGTTGGAACCAAACGTTATATGGCTCCTGAAGTGTTAGATAATACAATACGTTTAACAAGTCCAGAAGCATTTAAACAAGCTGATATGTACAGTTTAGGTTTGGTATTTTGGGAGGTTACAAGACGGTGCTATGTTCGTAATTTATTCGGACCAGATGAATATCAACTACCTTATCAAGTAAGTATACTTAATATTTTGTTCATCTTTAATTTAAGTAACGTTCTCATGAAAACATTTTCTTACTAAAATGATATATCATGTTAGATTGTTACCTGTTTTCATCGTACTCAGTAGTTAATTCCTACACAAAACTGGATTTTACTTCCATTCTATTTTCATGAATGATTATAGGAGACTAAAGTTAATCATATGTGATGATGTATTCTGATATATTTACACATTTGTTCATCTTCTTTTATCATAGTTCATTGTGAATTGCAAAAATTCTACTCCAGTAGTTGTAATGTAATATAATTTTTTTTAAATAAAGAAGATTAGTTCAACAAAATGATCTGCTTTCAGGTATTCCATGGTGATCTAACTTCAATTGATTCATGATTTCAACCATGTGATGATTATTGTTAATGCAGATTAATGACCACTAAATATATTCTTTGCACCTTTTTTACTGAAAGTATATTTGGTCTATAGTTTTATAATTTTACATAAATTTTAACAATTTATCATATCAGAAGGGGTTTTGTGTAGATTGTAGTAATTTCAGTAGTTGATATCATGGGTCAATTGAAACTAGACCACCATGGAAAACCTGGCAGCACTTGGCGACCGTTTCGTCCTATTATTGGACTCCTCATCAGTGCGTATCCACGCCGTTCAGTGCTTCCAGGTATTCCATGGTGATCTAACTTCAATTGATTCATGATTTCAACCATTGAAATTACTATAATATCCACAAGAACCTCTTCTGATATGAAAATAATCTGTTTTCAACAAATTCACTCTTAAAGCGCGGTATAACTTGAAGAAGAAAAACTTTTTTTTTTCATCATGAAAACTGACCTGTTATCGTTGTTGCTAATAATAATAATAATAATAATAATAGTTACCAAACTTATATAATAGAAGAGTGAACTAAACAATTCTCATTAAGAAAATAATAAAAAAATGTATTTCTTAATAAAGATCAGTCACTCGTTGACAATATCATTAAAGTTAGATCAAGATTAATAATTACAAAAAAATGAAGGTTATATAACTATGTAATAAGATAAATTACATAATGGTAATGAAATATTAGCGGATAATAAATCAAATAAATGAATGTTGTATCCTCTGATTATGTTAGTTTACTCGATTCTTCTTCATAATTAGAATAAAAGTTTTAAGAGAACATTATACATATCAGTCAGTCAAACCCACAAACGTAGAACCTAGCACATATGAACATCGCTTCAATTTGTCATATTTCATTAGTATAGTGAGGTAAAATTGTCATGGGGAATCCCAGGGTAGTAGATTTAGTGACAGTATTGATGAAAAAATGGAAAGGATTAGGCATCGAATACACTTCGAGAAAATTGGGGTCTGAAGAAAGACAAAAAGTGCCATTGCAAATGACCTTGAGCCGTATCATACAAAGTCTCTGATCATTAATTACGTTAATCATGCGAACCTTAAACCAATCATTCTGTACCTACCTACATGGCTCAGTCCAGCAGGCAGTGTCTTTATGAAATGATGTCATTTCTTCCAACCTACTTCTACATCAGGCATCATCGCATGTCAGTATATTTCATTGTTGGGGATATACTACATGTGTCCTAACCATTTCAGCCGATAAAGACCCACTATCTCATCAGTCGATTGGCCATACTTAATATTTGTATCTCACCTCAAAATTACTAACTTGATGGTCTCAAAATACATCAACAATCGTTCGAAGACACCTTATATATATGATAAAAACCGAGTTCATGTCGATTTCACATAGGAGTCATCTAACATCTCAACACATTCGCTACCTCTGATTAGTAATTAAAAGTGAGCCAATCAACTTATTCCGATTTGATCCTGGTTAGAGCATGCAACAATAGAGCTCTATCATGTTAATAGTTAACGAGGGGATAATCAGTCAGTCAAGTAAAGTTTATGTTAACGTATTTGTATGAGTTGTTTGAACCTACCCATCGACGTTTAGCACTGTGTTTAAACAATCTCTTTGTCCTTTTATACAAGCCAATGTCTATCTAATCTCAGAAGCTATGTGGATAACGCATTGTGTTTGAAGTAAACGGTACTGAGTTCGAGTCCCGGAATGAATGTGAACTCTGGGGCTCAGGTATACCCAGCTGACGAGTCCAAAATGGGGCGAAATGCATGTCCTGGATTATGCTGCTAACCACCATCCATCTCTGCGTATAATGTTTGTGTTAACAATAAAACAGGTCTTGAGTATGTTTCATTGAGAATGGTTTTACGAAATATGAAGGGGAATGTCACTTCCGGGCCTCCCACATCTGCAGCGTTACTGCAGATGCTAGTTGTCTAAATGAGGCACCTCACTATCATCAAGCCTCTTATACAGCCAGCATCTGAACTTCACCCTCCGACCATCAGTTGGTAATCCTAGGTGTATTTCTTAAAAAATATTAGTCATGTAATATAACGGAATGATTCAATACAAGTTCATAGATATGGCTTTAAGTTGCAGTTAATAATAATAACTGGTTGTCCAGTCCGATGTAAATGATGAAAGGTAATTCAAACCTACTGACACAAGTTTTTACGTCACTTTAGCGACCGATGTTCGGATTAAATATCGTACGATTTTATTGACCCTGTCGCCATTGTAACCATAACATCTCACTTTAAAGTGAGCAGCAGTAAGCAATATTTGCTCTCTATCCATTGATTAGTTCAATTCTCCCTAATGGATTGTAGTCCTACGTCATTCAGCTTCACAGCTTGAAACGTTACCGCTGAGCCTATATTCGATAGTATCAGTTCCTTCAAGGTTACAGTTACAGTTTACGGATGAGGACCAGGTATCAGGAAACTTAGATCAAGCGGAGTTTTCTAACTACATCCAAGTATTTAACATCTCTATATAGTAATAATGCACGGGATATCAGGTCAGTTAGATTTTAGTGATCACTTTGCAACTTGATCGATAGAATTCAATCGGCACCAAAGCACTAGACAAACATAACATTGGTCGCCAATCAATGATCAATTATCAGAATGAGTTTTGTGGAGATTTTAGTAAATTTCACAGGTTGAAATCATGAGTCAGTTGAAGCTAGACCACCATTGAAAACCTGGAAGCACTGGACGGCCGTTTCGTCCTAGTATGGGACTCCTCAGCAGTGCGCATCTAGCTATCTATTTATTATTCCCATGGGTTTTAGTTCTATAGTTGTGTTCCATGCCCAACCATATATCATGTTGAACTTATATACTAAGATTACAATGTTGTTCGTAATTTTGTTTATTTGCTTGTTTACTTATTTTTATCTAGTCGACTTCTCTCTGTTTTTCCATGTCAGTTGCGTAAAATATTACAATTCTTGAACGATTCAAAATTGTAGGGCAATATTATGTAACGCTGTCATCCATCACTTGTTCACTCCGCCTTTGAGACATATATGTATATATTTAAATTTACGTTGATAAATAAACAACGTGCATGGAATACTGTTGTCTACCTTCAATATGACTTTTCTGTTTTCATATAATTCGATTGGTTAATTACTTGATAAGGAAAAATCTAGTTTACATATGTATATGTTGGTTGAGGGACAGTTGTGTCGGTCACGTATACATGTGATTATGCTTGTTCTACCGTTGTCATTATGTATTATATATATAATTAGCTGTGTTTATATTTCACGTGTTATTATTAGTGTCATAGATCATTGGCTTGTATGTATATATTATGTGTGTATGCCTAGTTGTCTGGTTTGCAAAGAGAAGAATCTCACTTCTCCATTTTCTTTATTGTCATGGTGTACTAGTATAGTGTGTGCTGAACATATATGTACATCTTCGGTACATTGATACACATGCTACTCGTGCGTCTGTCAAAATAACTAGTAGGCGCAAGAATTTGTGATGTGATTGTGGTGGTGGTAGTGGTTTATAATGTACAACATCTCGTGTATTCTGTCCTCTCTGTGTGTTTATCCTGTTTTTATTGTTACTATTTGAACAGTTGTATTCTATTGTTGTTCTACTTTCTATTACTTGGATAAAATTTGTTTGGATAATTTTTAATTGATCTCATCTACTTGGATATTATTCCCCCAAGTAAAAATAACAGTAGTTGAGTAGTTCATTTCTAGGTATGTATACGTATTAAGGTGTATGTAGCTCAGCACTAATTATCATGGTGACATTTTTAGTATTTTCCTCGTTCATTCATTCAGTAATATGTTGTTATATTTTATTCTTTTAAAAAGTGATCTCCATATTCTGTTATGAATTTAACAATTAAGGTGTTTGTGAAGATTGTAGAATTTTCACAGTCTAAGTCATAAACTAATCTTAGCTAGACAATATCATTGAGAACCAAGAAGTACTGGACAACCGTTTTGTCCGAGTGTGGGACTCATACATATCCACAACCCCGCCATCGGGTATCGAACACAGGACTCGGCCTCGTGTGCAAATGTTTAATCTCTAAATCACTGCGAACGGGACCCAATAGTATCAATGTCCAACTTCAATCAATTTACGACGTTGTTTTCCCCTAAACACTGAGATTAGAATTACTTTATACCGTTCTTTCTGCGAACTAATCCTTTCTTCCTGTATTACATACTTATATGCAATCTTTCTTTTATATATGACTTCTATGAATTTGGTGTTCATCTTGTTGTGCTAATGAGGTGTGGTAACTTGGACCGATCCATATATTTGCCTGATCCTACGTTGTAACTAACTAACTAACTGTGCTACCATCTTCCGTTACCTGAGATAGATAACGGCCTCACTTGACATAGTTGAACTCCATGAAATTATTTACTCAATCATTCTCTTACTTCAGTTTGGTAAATTATTGTTTAAATCAATATTTAATTTTAGTAAAGCGTTATCTCTAGATTATGACGTATAAGTGAAAAATCGTGCAATAATGTTTTGTGCTAAAAAATCTGGCATCAGTGGGTTAAACCATTATTTACAATTTAGTGCAGTTAACATATATGTACTGAGGTGGATGGGAACTTCTCTATTTAAGTTCCTCATTGTAAATTATGATGGAAGTATTTAAGGTTTGCTTCAATGTTTACAGAGAGAAACCCTATTTTGTAAGTAGTTGAGTCAATCTAAGAAGTTACGTTGTAGTGATAAAATTTAGTAAATGTATGTAACTTTAGATGATTAAAATGAAGTTTGCAGTCAAAATTACAATCTGATGATGCTCCAGTTTCGACACGCTAAATGCACAGAAAATGTTAGATATCGTGCTCTCATTGAACATCGAAAAAAGGTTGGTTATTCTCTGTTGTGGTTTGTATATAACATGATTTCAGAATTTCTGAAAATAACTTGTTTTAAGATTTAAGACCAAAGAATTATCTGCATAACAACTCATCAATATTACTACAATAGCAATCGCTTACACTTATCCAACTCTAACTTTTCCCCACATTTTGTTTTCATTTCCCAATTAGCTTGGTTATTTTAGTAGTCGCTAAAGATCGTCGGTAAACTATACTTTCACCTAGGCTTCTATTATTCACAGTATTATCAGTAGTACAAGCAAAGAATGTAGAAAACTGTTTTAAAACGTATTTCAGATGTCAGTATATAATTGTCTACAGCCATTATTAAATCCATTTTAAGTTATTATTGGTATACTATCTGTTAAAGTTATCGTAAATTTGCTACATTTTTGAAGAAAAAATAGGTAATTTGCACAAATAACCTCCTTTGACTTCAGCTTATTATCATGGAATTATCAGTACCGTCAGTTTGACTTCCAATCTCTAGTTTTTACACCATTTTACACTGATTTCTGTGTGTCGCTTCATTATCACTTGAAGCGTTTAACTTTCATCTGTCAGTTTACTATTTTAAATTTCAATTTATCTATTTCGGCTCAGGTTGTTGGATGTCATTAACCGTGACCCGAATTCAAGAATATACAAATTATAGCGTAGTAAATGTATTGGATAAATCTAATTTGAAAACTTCAGTTTTTTAGTGGTTGTATTCTTTACAGTTTACTATCCAGTTGGGTTATCATTGGAAACTGGTTCCACTGGTATTAAGCGTTCACCACGGGACCTGGATGTCATCGGTTCAATCCCTAGTGAAGTTGTGAGGGTAGCCTCCTATTTGAACGAAACAGTTGTTCAGTCCTCCTTGGTTTTCAATTGTATCCCAATTAAGACTAATTTACGATTAATGTAAACCCATCAACTGTTTGGAACCAAATTCCATCAAACCCCTTCAACTAAATGCCGATTTTTATTTGTATTTATCGTGGTTTATTTGTACTTACCTTGAAATTGTTCTTTTTTTACTCTTTTTTCCCCCACAGGATCTTGTGTCTGCAGATCCTTCAGTAGAAGAAATGAAGTCTGTTGTTTGTGAACAAGGTCTACGACCAGGTCTACCAGCTATATGGTCGAAACATGAAATTATCCGAGCACTACAAGATATAATGAGTGAATGTTGGTATGCTAGTCCATCGGCTAGACTATCAGCTATGCGTGTTAAAAAATCACTAGCTGGTGTACGTAAACAATTAGATACTAATCCAGCATTGTCAGATTTTTCACATACTAATTATCTACCTCCAGAAGCTACTGATAAGCTTCCTTTTGGCATAATTCGTTGTCCATCTGTGCCACGTAATACTATGAATAATACTAATACTAATACTACTAATAATAAACAAATAAATTTATTACCAAATCTTACAAGTACCAATTCTATTGGTACTACAGTTGGTAATAAATTACTCATCTCAGGCAGTCATAACAATACAACTTATAATGATAGTAATAATCCTTTATTAACCACTACCATCACTATCACACCTCCAACAATGCTTGATAGTAATATTCATCATAGAAATTGTCAATGTAATGATGATAATAATATTTTATATTCATCATTATTATATAACAATGGAAATATTTCCTCGTATTGGTCAAATTGTGAATATGATAAATTATTATTATTCAATACACATAATAATAATGATGATGCCAATCCTCCTCCTCCTCCTCCTCATCATCATCATCATCCTCATGAGAAATCCAATAATAATAATGATAATAATTCAAAGCATTTATAGTCATCAATCGATCTTCCTCCATTATATTAAAGAAGAAAACAAAACTTGATTATTGTGAATAGATGGGGAAAAATAAAGGATAATTGCACACTTATTATTATAAATAGTCTTATATACTTTCTCAGCTTGTATTTTACTATACTGAACTCTATCCTATGCATATATAATATGCATTTTCTCATTCTTTGTTGTTGTTGTTGTTGTTTCTTTTTTTTCTGTCAATGTGTAAATGCTTGTATTATTACTATCACTGTATCGTGTATTGTCATTATTACTGAGCTCTTGTGTATTGTTTCATATTTGTTGCTGTTTGTTATTATTTAACGCTTTGTAGATTACTACTAAAGATATGTGTATATGATCTTTTCATTCGATTTTGATTTTACTTTCAGAAACAGAAATCAGCTATTTCGTTGTTATGATAAGTATGTATGTATGTGTAATTGTAGTTTATGTGTACAGTTCCACAGATTGTTTATGCTTACATGTGCAATCTTTATTTCTTTCTTTTATCGCACCACGACTCAACAGTCTTCTCGTAATAACTTTCACTTTATCTATATATTGATATTATTATCATCAATAATCTATTCCTAAGTTGATCAGGTGTGTTTCTTTGTTTTATGTATTTTTCTTTATCCCGGCACTCTTGGAATGTCTTTCTTCGGGTTGCACACATACACTATCTCTTCATTAAAATCACTCTCAATACACTAGTTTATATTTTAGTTTTATCCTATATCTGTCCTACCAACTTGAATTGCACATATACATATAAAACTTTTCCCTTGGCTTCATTTAGCTTAGTTTATGTGTACTATGTAAATTTGTGTTTCATTAATGAAATATGAGGAACATTCTAAAAGTCGTACATTAGTTGAATAAGAATAGATTCGCTAATTATGCTGATGAATTAGATACGATAATGTTGATAATGATAGTAGAATCTAGTTGTTACTATTACTATTGTTAATTACGTATTTACACTGCATTATGCTTTTGTTTGTTAACATTCTATTTCGGTTTACCACAAACAAGATGAAACAATTCAGCATATATATATATATATATGTCCATATTTGTTTAAAAAAATTAACTGCCATGTGATTCTCTTATATATATATATATATGTATGTACGTAAGCTGACATTTTATTTTCACCGGTTTTATTCCTTCTCTCATGTTTTGGATTGTCATCGACACTGTGTATCCTGGTTTTATTTTCTTTAACAAATGCCGGTTATTGTTACCCACTATTATTATTATTATTATTATTATTGTTGTCATCATTGTTTCATATATTGATGCCTTTTCTTCACTTCTTTTATTACTATTTTAACTTGATAACTTACCTATGACGTAACACTATGCTTCAGAAGTGAGTAGTTATTTGAGATTCCACTGTTGTTGTTGTTGTTGCTGTTTTTTTCTTTCTTTTATTCTCTTTTTTCAAATTACTGGTGGTATTTTGGAATTGTTTTCTTTCTTTTCTTTTTTTTTTAATTTATTTTATTTATCACAAAATAAATTTATTTTTCTTATGTAAAATATAAATTTGTGTATGTATACACAAAAGAGAAAGTGCATTATGATTAACTATTGTTTTGATTGATTCACAATGGATAACCTTTAACTATGATGGATTCATTAAATAATCGATATAGTCTTTCATCAAAGTATGAAAGTCAGTTTACTAGTGAATTCATAATGTTCTTGAAGATTTCATCAGAAGTTGTTATTAGTAGAGTGAAATAGTGATCATAGAAGTTGGAATTGTACCATTGGATCCTAATCCATTAGTTTCGATAGTTAAGTGTTCATTATCAAAAGTTAAAGTCCTAGATGTGATTCATATTGAGTTCGTATGTGCACACAACTTAGATTTCACAAGCTGCCCAATGTTTTTTGGTTTACAATAGTATTCCAACTGAGATCATTCTATAGTGAATACAATATACAAATTAAATCAGTCCCCGATTTGTACAGAGTCATGGGAAGTTTCAAGTGCTTTCGTACTATTAGGTAACCTGGTGTTGAATCAGTTTTCGCTAGTATCTAAGATATTCTAATTTTCAGTTGCAAAGTGAATTAGTTAATAAGGTGTAAAATATTAATTCAAATATGATATTGAATGGAAATTGCGCTATTCTTTCATTGATTGACTTAAGTTAAAAGCACGTGCTGCGGGATGACAGCTTCATTTTTACCAAGAATCCTGAGCATCTTTGGTACAAAATCTGAGTGGACTCATGTACACAATACTAATGAGTCCTTGAGTGTGTCGTGAAACAATGCCTCCTAGGTTCTAGTGCTTATATATTGAATATGAACTACGCGCTACAGGTTAGGTAGTGTCTTCGAAGGATTGCTCGGATATCATGAGATGACCGACTGAGCAGTTCTAAAGTTAGGGATAGAGTACCAAGCAAAAATAGCTAATCGGTTAATGAGTTTGTAAATCTTCATCTGCTGCGGGGAATTCAAGTATATATTATTCAAGTTTAACTACCGCGTACTTCGACGTGTGACGTTTTGTGGTGCAGGAATAAGCTGGAAGAAAGCTAAGGGTAACCAAACCATGTTGTAGGATCAGTCCATGATGTCATTAACTACTGGATTAAACCAAATCGGGATCAGTGCAATAATGCCGATCAGTGAATGGTTAACGTCCCAGAAACATTTATGGTGGCCCAAATACACTTACTTTTTGTGTTCCAGTATTATTTATTATCATAGTTACTACATTACTTTCATTCTTTACATTTCAACTCGTAATGCTAATATGGTACAACAACCTGAGTTAATACACATTTATTCCAGGCTATACGTTGGTTCTGACTAATATCAGCTATCGATTCGTGATGAAAATCAATTACAAATAATGTTAACGCTAATATTACAACTAGTAAGAATTACGGCATAACTGTTTTTGATGTGACTTTACGTCCGGCTAGTTACCACGTGATTTATTCACTAATCGGAATATGACTTATTCAATATTAGTAATGCGCCTAAACCAATCACATTCTACAGGTATGAACAGACTAACGTCCTTATTGATCCTTTGTTCACCTAACCCTTCCAGTTGAACCCGGAACACCAATAACAACTCCCACTATGTGAATCATTTATTTCAAACAATACTTGGTTTATATACCAGCCAAATTGGTCACACCACACCATGAAATATGAAATAACATTTAAACAAGATCAAGTCAACAGTGACTGTGAACGTGGGAGACTCGAATCAATAAACAAGACATAACTGAAGAATAGTAGGGATATAGATAAACGCAATCTAATTACTGAATAGTCAATTAATAGTTCTCACAAGTTACACGTAATTTAATCTTCACTAGGATATAGCACATACTATGAATAATTTGATATTATTGTTGCCATAATTAAATGATGAAGTTCAGTAGTGTTAGATAAAAATTGATCTTGCTTACTCAAATTTTTGAGTCATCTGCTTTGTAAGTATGTAACTTCAATGTCGCGTCCCAGTAAACACCCAGATTAGACTTAATTAATTAATTAATTGTGTTGGGGAGATCCAGAAAACTCCTCCAAAAAAACAACAAAGGCTCTGAAGACGCTGGGAAGCATCTTATTCAATCAGCATTCAATAGAAATTTTACCAGAAACATCTAGAAAGTGAAAAGTCACATGTCTAGTTTCCAATTGGATGATTATCTATACTTTTACTATCCTTAGTAGCGTTCCAGAATTTTCCGGATACTCAAGGTAATCTAAAATACTCTAAAAACTCCAGATTTTCTTGACATAAAAGAACCTTGAAGTAGAGCGTTTCTCTTATGTTTCGCGCCTTTTCTTTCATGTTCAAGTCACTGTTTAGATTTAGCCTGGGGGTTACTAGAAGAGCTTTGGAACTGAATCTAGCGTTCAATTAGAAGACTTATGAATTTGTTTAACACACAAACAATATAATGTACACATATGCTTCTAGGCAAAGCTTACAACTTTCAGCTATAATCAACATTGAGGCATTCAAGAGGAAAATCTAAAATGGTCGGCATAATTTCATCTTGGTTCGCCCCTTCAAAATAAACCGAGAAGTGTTTGTTTTTTTTTATATCCAGAATACTGTTCTTTTAAGATTGAAAGGTCTCTAACTGTAACCAGATGAAAGGTATAACATAAGGAAAACATTGTTCCTAATTCTTGTTATTTTTTAAATCTGCATCTTCTTGAGAAATAAACAAATAAAAATACAAAATTAGTATTTGCAAGAAACACTAAACATTCATATGCATAACCTTTTTTAGCTTGAGGGCCACAAATGAAAGAACAGGTAGTATATATCTCTTTACAACCAATTATTCTACATGGATACACCAAATTCAGCACACATTCATTTGTATGATGAAAATATGTTCGAAATTATTATGTAATAACTACCAGTAATATTAAGTGATTCAGACTTCAGAAAAATCAGGTATTTAGACAAGGTAAATGACTGATGATGTACCAACTACATCTTTTCAATAGTTGCTAACAGAAATGTGTTTCGTATTACTTTCGATATGTTTAGTTGAATATTCCAACCATTTTAGTGTTTTTCTTAGTGAATATTATTTTATTATTTATTTTAACACATAGATATTGGTACAAGGAGGCAACAAATACATATGCGCCACACAAATCTCATTTTATATATGTGAGGGCTGTGATACTCCCTGAATGCCCAAACCGAAGCAGGTGGTTTTCTTAGGGGCCACACCAGAAGCCATCGACCTGCAGGTCTGATCTACAAGCAGTAGAGCATCGTAAGGACATGCAGTCCCATGGAAGCCGGTGACCAACGATTGGTTCATACGCCATTTGTTCCTTCAGGATACTGAAGCCTATATACATAATTGGTTTGGAATCAGGGTTTTCCGATTCCCCTAGATGAACTCTCCGTATCCACCAACCCTGTCTAAGGAGTGGACATTCGCTTTTCGTTCTCTCAACTCCGTAAACAACACCGTTGCCAAGAGAGGACAGTGAGTAGGACTTCCCTGGTAGAGGCTATATACGCGTGGCCATGTGAGCGCATTTCGAGAGAGAGGGTGAGCCCACTCCGCTCTCGGCCATACCAGGGCATTTGGGGGGCGTGTTATCTAATAAGAGAGAGAGGGAGTGAACGAGTCTAGATAGCTAAGAATCTGTTCAGAGAGTGTATGAATTGGTTTCCAACTAATTGGCGGTTTATTTTTTTTGGTTTTTCAGTGGCTTATAAATCCAATTATACATATCAGAAAACAAATCATGTTTAATTGTTATCATACAATAAAATAGGACGATGCAAAACAAAAATTGATCCAATATTCATTGATGATGATGAAAAATATTTAAAGAAAAGATAATTTATGTAAACATTTAGATAACAATCTGTCATAACAAAATGACTAATTGGCTAACTCTTTAAAATATTCACGTTATTCTATTGTAAGTGATTGAACAATTAACAATATTGAATGATCGGATAATTAGGAGAACAGAATCATCTTACTACTTGTTAACTAACAATGATTTCAAACAACAACAAAAACACTTACTTAAACGGTTATATCTTAGTGAAGATTAAATTACGAGTAACTTCCGAGAGCTATTAATGGACTGATAGTTTGTATATATATATAGTTATTGTATAACTATTTAGTAACTAGACTGTATATATCCATATTCCTCTTATTATAAGCTTCAGTTTGACCTATAGATTATTATTGTACGATCTACTGTTCTTGAGTTATGTCTTGTTTATAGATTCGAGTCTCCCACGTTCACAGTCACTGTTGACTTGATCTTATTTAAATGTTATTTCCTATTTCATGGTGTGGTGTGACCAATTTGGCTGGTATATAAACCAAGTATTGTTTGAAATAAATGATTCACATAGTGGGAGTTGTTATTGGTGTTCCGGGTTCAACTGGAAGGGTTAGGTGAACAAAGGATCAATAAGGACGTTAGTCTGTTCATACCTGTAGAACGTGATTGGTTTAGGCGCATTACTAATATTGAATAAGTCGTATTTCGATTAGTGAATAAATCACGTGGTAACTAGCCGGGCTTAAAGTCACAACAGTTGGCTACTCATTTCAACTGGAAATACCCTCCTTCTGCATGAATGGTATAATTTTAAATTTGGGTTTTTATTGGCCAATCCGTTTTCTAATTGAATTAATATTTTTTTAAATGATGTGAATTTCAATAGTTGAGATTGTGAGTCATTTGAAGCTAGACCACCATGGAAAATCTGGAAGCACTGGATTAGTTGAAGTTAGACATTAACACCGTTGATGCCGGCTCAGTGGTCTATTGGTCAAGCGCTCGCGCGAAACTGACAGGTCCTTGGTTCGAATCTCGCTAGACGGGATCGTGGGTGTGCATTGCTGAGGAGTCCCACAATAAGACGAGACGGCTGTCCAATGCTTCCAGGCTTTCTATGGTGACCTAGCTTCAATCGGCTCATGATATCAACTATTAAAATAACTACAACCTCTACAAAACCCTTTTTGAAAATGACGTGAAATTAAGATTGGTGCAACTCTATCTTGCAATTCGAATATTTTATGTAAATTTATCATTTGAAAATTCCTATTCAATATACATGGAAAAGAAACGCCTATTTTATAGTATGTAATAGCATAACAGGAAAATAATTTACTTAATATCATAACTATATGTCACAATACAGTGTTGTCATTGGTAACGTTTGTTTATGTTTATTTTCAAGATAAACACTGAACATGATGATAACTCAGCTGGAACTGTTGCAACAATATTATTTTTGTTCTTGTTTTTCTTAAAAATATCACAATGACCATCAACTTCTTATTGTAAACAAACATTCTAAATTGTTAGTATAGAGTTGTAGAGATTGTTGAGTATCACTGAAATCATGAACCGATCAATATTAGATCCCTATTGAAAACTTAGAAGCAATGGACGGCCGTTTAGAAAATTATTATATGATCACTAGTGATTAGCTTTGGGAGGAAATTTCCGGAGTACTAGTGGGAAGCTGTCACAAATGGAGTTCACTCGTGTCAGGTGTGAGCCAATCATCCACCAAAGTCAATGGAAGATGGTTGTGCACTATTGTGGAACGATTAGAATTAGATTTATACAACATTGGATATCCACTCAATGATTTAAATGTTAAATGTTCGAGCACGAGACCAAAACCCTAGTACTTGTCTGGGAAATTTCGACTGACGTTTAACCTCTAGACCACTGAGCCGACATCCAACGGTGTTAATGTCTCACTTCAAATAATCCACGAAACTGAGCGACACATCTACCATTGTAATCACAATTGATTGATCACTGGGTAGTGATCAATGCCATGTGTGTGAAGTCCTTCTTAGTCCAGGGTTTCCTGTTGACTACTTCCAACCACCATCTTATATCAACATAGTGCACGCAATGTCGAGTCACCTAGGCTAGTGGCCAACTTGCGACTTTGTCGATAGCATTCGATCTGCACTAATAAAGACCTGACACACATGACATTGATTACCACCTAGTGACCAATCAATTGTGATTACACCTCAGTCCTACAGGAGGTCGGTCGCTGCTCGGATAGCTCAGTGGTAACGTCTGACTGTGAAGCTGGGTAACACTGGATCGAATCCGTCAGGAAGCACCAGTTCCCTGAAGATTACAAGTACATCTTACTGACGAGTGCCAAGTAGCATGAAATCCGGATCCAGGGTTTCCTGTTGATTACCTTCAACCACCATCTTACATCTACCATTGTCTTCAGTGAGTTACTATGTCACAACAGACTCGGTTGAACTGCACTGTTCATTGCTTTTCACTAGAAGCAGTGATTTATTGATTAGTTAATGAATATCACATATAACTAAAATAGGAAAGATACAAAACTGAATTTTACACAGAATAACAATAAAACATGTACTACATTTTATGCTGAACAAAACTTATACCAAATTGTAATATGATCTCAAGTGTATTACTCCATCTCAACACCATCTTCTTTTTTTCTTTCTATAACTGGAACACCTATGAATAAAGTGATGTAAAACTTTTAACATTCTGTATTTCTTGTTTTATATAAATCTATTGTATCCCCTATGAATAACTCAATAATTCTCGATTGTTTACTACTTTAGATTACAATTAGCAAATAAGAAAAAAAAATAGGACTACGAATGATTTGACACAAAAAAAGTTATGATGAAATAGCTCTTGGATTTAGAACATTAGTAGGTTACCACCGAAACGGTCTGACCTATTATTATCATTATTATTATTATTGTTACTATTACTACTATTGCTGTTATTATTATTATTATTATTATTATTAGTATTATTATTATTATTATTATTATTATTATTATTATTATTCGATAATAATCCATTCTGATAACACAATTTAAACTCCATCAATAAAACACACCAAATTATAAGGTTTGTTATTAACTCTAACAGCAGCAGTAGCAGCAGTAGCAGTAGCAGCAGCAGCAAAAAAAGGTGAAAAGTTGCTTATCATTCCATTCTATAAAATTCTATTCACATTTATCAAAGAGAAAAAGAATTTTAAAAAAAGCGGTAACTTTCATTACTCTTAACTCTATCCGTTTTCTACTTTTTTTTTCAAAAAAAAAGATACTCTTTACATTGAAAGAATTTTCCAAGTTTTAGATGTATGTTAAAAGTTTGTTTTACACCACCACTACCACCACCACCACCACCACCGCCAACAACAACAACAACAAAAACAATTTGTACCAAAAAAAGAGAAATAAACAGAAACCTTGACTTCTAAGTGTTTACATAACTTGATAATGATATATATATATACATATATAACATTTGATTATAATAAATACCCTGTAAACTGTGTACAATATCTATTCAAAAGCTTCAATTTTGTTTGCGTATGTGCGAATGTGTGTGTGCGTGTGTGTGCGTGTGTGTAGGTTCGTATATATGTTTCTATGTATAAATAAGAATGGATACTTATCTTGAAAGAAAAAAATAGTTTATGTATTTGGTCATATTATAAAAGTTTCTATGAATTAGTATGATTATTTTTTATAACGATCAATAATATGTAATAGGTGGTGTAATGGTGTGGTTACAACCGGAAACTTTTGATTTCTAATATACATAATCAATATTATTGATTTTACTTTATTTTTCATAATCTTATGTATGAAACGTATTCCTGTCTAATGTACACTAGAAGAGATAGGGGTAGATGAAGTGAATCGGTTCAAATGACTATTAAAGTATAATAGAATTCCATTCAGTAAATGATAATCATATATACTTGACGACTTACAAAGATTAGGAGTTTTCTTTTTGTTTTCTATTTAAGAATAATCGTTCTATTCAATATCATATGTGTTATACAATATGGATATACACAATATGAAATATTTCATAGTTTTAAATGGCGTTAAATCTATGTTAGCTAGACTATCAATGAAAATCTTGAAGCATTGGATGGCCATTTCGTCAATAAATTCCCCCTCAAACATCACGGACCACACAATATCTATCTATCTATCTATCTATCTATATATGATATCAGTTGTTTGTAAAACCTCAAACGTTTATCTATAACCATATTGTTAATGACGCCATGAAATTCACCCTTCGTTTTACTAATAATATTCAATATTCTACACGACACATAGCAATTTTTTTTCTCCAAAAGCCTAAGGAAAAGTTAAATTAAAATATGGATTATTTAGTTAATATTTATCTAATCACTGTTACTAAAATAAGAAGTTTCAAACAAATAAGATCATTTTAAGGGATGTACTGTAGGGCAAGTAAAATAACACAGAGTATTAGTTATACCATTCATCAAATTTGATCGTTTTTACGTTAGGAGACCGATCATTAGTTGTCTAATGAATAACCACGTCTTGCTAAAGTCAAGGATAACCAAAACAGGTAGAGAAAGCTAAGGAAACCAATGATCTTATGCAGTAGTAAGGCCATAAACTGTACTTCTCCAATCTTTTGTACCTTATATAAGATGTTAGTCTGATAAGCTTCTGTTTACTTAGAAGTGTCCCATGAAAGCAGGACTGTCTCACCATCAGGTTAGCACAAACCAGATCAAATGGTTATTAAATATTGAGACTTACATGTAGGACTACGAAAGCTAGGCAATCACACTGTTATCGTTCAGCTTTAGTAGGCGATAACACATGCACTACGTAAACTGTGGTACCAAATCCCTGGAAGTCGGATAATTTAACTGTTACATATATAAAGTAGTTTATAGCTAACGTGATATGTCTGAACAAAGAACAATGATCACTGACCACTCTATCCAAATTCATAAGTGGTAACTTCCGACACAATAGTAACAAACAATTTTGTTTCCAATCTTAAAAGAAAATAACGGGTTTGTCTAATTAACACAAAACATATATTTCCATGATGCAACAGATGGTTGTGTAATTTAGTGGATCGACTGGAATTAGACTTGTACAACATTGGATCCCAGTTCAATGGTTCAGAGGTTGAATGTTCGCGTGCGAGGCTGAAAGTCTTGGGTTTGATTAGCTGTGGAAAGGGAGTTGTAGTTGTACACTGCTGATGAGTCGTATACTGAGACTAAATAGGTGTCTAGTGATTTGGAGTTTTCAGTGGTTGACTAACTTAGATCGGTTCATGGTTACAAGATGTTCTAAAAATTTTACAATCGTCACAAAATCCTATATTGATAATTAATTTTTTTATATCATAATTCTGAACTGATCTACACATGGTTTACGACAAGAAAATAATACCAACTGAGTGGCAGTGTTACATAATTTCACATATAATTTGACCAGTGATTATGAAAAGTCTCGTGTAATTAACTAAGTGATTAGAAAAAAGGACATGGTGACTGTAATAAACAAAGGAATTGCTTTGTAAGAATAGCAAACATGTAATAAAGTGGTTATTAGTTTAAATAAAAAAAGAGTTAACAGAATATTTTGATATAATCAGAAGGGGTTTTGTGGAGATTTTAGAAATTTCACTGATTGAAATCATGATTCAATTGAAGCTAGACCACCATGGAAAACCTGGAAGCACTGGACGGCCGTTTCGTCCTAGTATGGTACTCCTCAGCAGTGCGCATCCACGATCCCGCACCCCGCGAGATTCCAACCCACCACCTATCAGTCTCGTGCCAGGCGCTTAACCATTAGACCACTGAGCCGGCATCCAACGGTGTTAATGTCTAACTTCAACCAATCCACTAAGTTGCGCCACCGTACACCATTGTCTTCAGTGAGTTGATATCTCACAACAGACCTGATTGAACTCCACTGGTAACGGCTTCTCACTAGAACTCCAGGAGTATCTCTTGAAGTCAGTCACTAGTGAAGTTTTGATATAAGATATAAATACTTGACTAATAGTTTTAGTGGCCCATTATCTGTCTACAATTATGTCATATGATTGTTTGCTAGTGAAATATACATATCGTCAATCCTCGTATATAATTATCGACTTAATCCACGTTAGTGAATAACAGAATTAAATAAGTCAAATACAAGAATGAATGTTTGAATAAGTATATTTTGTACCCTCATTGATAGGAACAGACAATCAGAGAATCGCAGCGAATGAAGTGAAGAAGAGAAAGCGAAGTGAAACGAAACGAAAGAACGCACAGTGGAGAAGTTGTGTGAGCGAACTCGATTTAACCAAGCGTTAAACAATATTTATAGTCACACAAAAATAAGCTACAGATATGTGATGAGTAGAATAAGAATTGTACATATATACACTCGTATAAAAATAGTCAAGGTTGATAATTGAATAATTAACCAAGTCAAAACGTGACTCAAAAAGAATGGGTAAATTGACCTTTCCAGCAGCTAGAATAAACTATGTGGGCTCAATATAGGACCAGTCACTATATAGCCCCCTTGTAGAAAATAGCACATTTATTTTAAAACTATCTGTTTTCGAAAATAACACGGAAGTGGTATGTGGTTAATGTTAACAATAAGTAACGAAAAAAATTGTACTACACTCGACAAAGTACAATGTCACATGAGGAGTGAGTGTATTATATGAAAGTGTCATACTTATGTAAAAAGAATACATAAATATCGTAAAGGTACCGACAAAAAATGGTAATGTTAGCATGTGATTATGAGCAATTTAATAAGCGTACAATCATTCAACATGCATTTATGTTGTGACTATCTGGACGATAAAATGAGCGATTCAAAATACCATGAAAATGGTAATAAATCGTTTATAGGTTATTACAACTTAATAAATCGTCAACATAAGTAGAATAGAATATAATAGAAATTGGTCTGTGATGCTGACAGAATAGTGAAATATGAACATGTCCTGATGAGCCGCAGTAAAGTAAATAACGTAGATTAACGATGAGTGAATTCGAATTTACATACATAGAGTTCTGGTTCTTAGGATAAGAGTAGTAAATTCGTGAAACGATAACTGCATCGACGGGTGTTATTCGTTTCTATACTGTAATTGATAATAATCGTAAAATGAGAAGTCAGTGTACGTTGTTGTTTGCGTTATGACAGATGCATCGAGTTATCATTGGACATGTATTAATAGAATGACCAGAGGAACAGGATAATTACTAGGAGACGAGATAAGCCGAGTCGTATTCCTTTTCGGTCGTGAGGTCTAGTGTAGTTTTCTTCGTTAGACGGAGATGCTCTCGATATCGTTTTTACGGAACTGTACTAAGCCGAGCTAAGAAAAACCAATATATATGACTATCGATGCCAGCGAGTGAGACTGACTTGGATGTGACAATTAAGAGTGTACCATTGAGAGACCAGCTCTAAACTCTATGTTCTGGTATACACTGCTATGGAAATAAAATAGTAAGTGCAGTAATCAAGTAATATTTGTGCATAGTGAATGATACAACATGCAGTTATATATGTGGACGAATAGATAAGATGAACGTAAACCTTACTAACCAGCTAGTAATGCGGAGTCGACTACTTGTTGTGTGTATAGACATTAAAGTAAGGATCATCGACTAAAGAAAAAATGATTGATGTTCGGTTTAGATTATAGTTGAAAAAGTAGAAAACGACGATTGCTGCGTACAAATGCGGTGAGTGAACTTTAGTTGCATATCATGGACATAAGTTCCTACTGTCGGAAGTATGACTCCAAACTTATGTTACTAACAGCTATCCGTGTTGGGGTAGTTGCAATCGTGCCGTTATCAGCATGCAGGAGGTTCGCTCTACTGCATAGACTAACGATTTGTGTGCATGTGTGTGTCGCTAGACCTCCAACTTATTTAGCAGGTTGCAGGTTGTTCGGTGTACGTGCAGCTAGTAAATATGTCGGAAATATACGACGTGCGATTGCCATATAACCACAAAAATGGACGATAATAATTAAACCACTGATGTGATGAATGATCCAGAACAAAATATAGATGATTGTTCTCGTCGAAAGGTTTATTAAAATAAAAGGCATCTACAGAATCAAGAGGAAAATATTGGAATAATGTAAAAACAT